CTGATGTGTCACTGCATCATTTGTCTTCGCTCCGTTTGCCGACTATGGTAAACTCGTAATAGTTTAAGCATATCAACTGACGAGCATATCACATTTTACATAATGTACAATAAAAAATATATTGTACTGTTTTGTACTGAATCTAATTAATTTTTGATAACCAAGATGCAATAAAGAGCAATAAGTACCGACAGTTATTGCCGGGATCGAATCGAGGACCATTCAGATAGTCAGTCAATCAGTCAGTCAGTAAGTCAGATGCAACGTAGAACTTCGTACGTAAGTACATCAGTTCATGTTGCCATACCACATTAGCACAGAGATGTAATTGCCAATCCAAATCCAATAGTAGTAGAGGTAGTAAAGGTATTAGAAGTAATTGGAGAGGTTAGGATTGGAAGATATTATTCAAGAAGTATGATTCAGTGAGATAAGTTTAGAAAGACAAAACTAGAGGTGTTGAAGAATCTAGAACATTAGGATTTGAGAGAACACAAAGAATAAATGCACCTGTGCCATTGCAAACGCTTTTGAGTCATGTCATTCAGGGTCTCTAACCATCGATTATTATCATCTTGCGGACCCCAACCAGGTAGTCGACACCTACCGACATGACTCTATCCACTTGTCAGTGACTTCATGGACATTCAGATAGTATGATCAACTTGTCACCTTTAGATTATTCAGTGGGCATTTACATTCCGTAACACAGAATTGAGTGGAGTTTGAAATGGAGTTCAACCTCCACAGATGTAGGCAGTAACTACCGAAGAGATTAGGTAAGGTCGCACAATACCTTACATTGATTAAAATTAGTTAATAATACCATTGGATGCTGGCTCTGTGTGTGAGTCCAAAGATCCTATGTTCCATTCCTGCGAGCAGGGATTATGGATGGGCTTTGCTGAAAAGTCCCATACTCGGATAGACCGGTCGTTCTTCAGTGCTTCAAGCTTTCTATTGGTGGTTTAACAATGTTTGATTCATGATTTCACCAAGAAACAACACAATTTTCATAACTTTAAATATGAAGAATAAACTTTGTCACTTTTTATTACTTTGATTACTTTGATCAAAAATAATACGATTAAGCACTTGTTGAAATGTACACATTGTAGTACTTTGTGATACGAAAAAAATTAATCAACGTACTTTGATCAGTCAACATGTGTGTTATGGTGTCGTGATAAAAGAATGTAGCAATCAACTTGATACTATACCAGTACAATAGTGAGACTAGTCAATTTGTTGTAAACCAATCGAGTCATATTATAGCGTTTATTTTCTGTAAAGTTAAACATTCGTGATACCGAATTTATGATAAGTTTGGAGCTTTGTAGCCTAAACATTATTGATCATTTAACAGTTAAAAAAATGGAAGTTTAATAAAAATGTTTGTTTGTTTGTTTATAATCTTTCATCTCAAGTAATTCATTTGGATGAATGAATAACGGTGATAAAAAAAAATCTATACAGGAAAAATATACGATAACTACACATTTTTGAAACCATGTATCCATCAGTATTAGACCACCATTAAAAGCCTGGAAGCACTGGACGGTTGTTTCGTCCCAGTACAGGACTTTTCAGCAGTGCGCATCGACGACCCCTGCAGCCCGCAGGATTCGAACCCAGGACCTTCGCCATTGTGGGCGGACGCCCTAAACGTTAGCGGTGTTAATGTCTAACTTGATCAAATTCACAGAGTTGCGCAATCTCATACACAGTCTTCGGTAGACTCTGCCTACACCCGAACAGTTTGAACTTCACTGGTCACGTCTTCCCACCACTAGAACTCGGAGAAAGTGCCTCACGAAGCTAGTCACTAGTGAGCACAGGTAATTTGCATTACGGGGTTGTGACGATTGTTAAGTTACGCATTTTTGAAACCATGGATGCGCACTGCTGAGGAGTCCCATACCAGGACGAAACGGCCGTCCAGTGCTTCCAGGTTTCTAATGGCGGTCTAACATTGATCGATTCATGGTTTCAAAAATGTGTAACTTAACAATCTTCACAACCCCGTATACAATAATTATCAGTAAAAAAAACATTCATTTTTGTTTGTTTATAGGAAATATTTATGTTATACACGTCCCTAGGTATGCTTAAACTTTTAATGAACTCACCATAGTCGAATAACGAGAACGAAACAATGAACCAGCAACGTCCAGGTAGGCTACTATGATCCGATTGTCCCAATGGTATCAGCAAGAAGTCTTGATATAGTGTAGAAATTGTTGTATTCTACAAACACCCAGAGCCAACACACAATGAATCCAAGCACTCAAATTGTGTTTATTTATACTCCCATAGAGACATCCTTGGAACAGTCACAAAAATAGCACACTAAAATGACACAGTAACCAATCACAGCCGAGGATTTTCCTGGTGGGAAATGTGATCTCAAGTTCAACTGATCGGTCCATGAAATCAATCCAAAATAAAGATATTTATCAAGCGAGTTCTGGAGATTTAACATCTCCAACACTTTATTAAATTACTGAAGTTTACAAAAAACTGTTCTTCGGAGGAATTTGAAAATAATCACATATAC